GACTGTCCAGTTTGACCAATGTACATGGCAGAGGGGCATTGCTGGCACATGATGGCATATATCACATTGGTAGATGTGCAGGTGAACGAGCCTCTGACAGTGTGGCTGATGTGATTAGGCCCTATGATGGTGTCCCCTGAATAGATATATGGACACAGTTGGCAACGGGCTTTGTTGCAAGGATAGGTTCCTGGGTTAGTGGTTCTGTTGTGTGGTGTGTGGCTGCTGGTGAGTATTTGCTTCAGGTTGGGGGGCTGTCTGTAAGCAAGGACTGGCCTGTCTCCCAAGATCTGTGAGAGTGATGGGTCATCCTTCAGGATAGGTTGTAGATCCTTGATGATGTGTTGGAGAGGTTTTAGTTGGGGGCTGAAGGTGATGGCTAGTGGCGTTCTGTTATTTTCTTTGTTGGGCCTGTCCTGTAGTAGGTGACTTCTGGGTACTCTTCTGGCTCTGTCAATCTGTTTCTTCACTTCAGCAGGTGGGTATTGTAGTTGTAAGAATGCTTGATAGAGATCTTGTAGATGTTTGTCTCTGTCTGAGGGGTTGGAGCAAATGCGGTTGTATCATAGAGCTTGGCTGTAGACAATGGATCGCCATGATGAATGTACACAGGCAAACTTCATTCTGGCATTTCCTATTTTTTGAGTGATTGCCTTAACAACCTTAATAATGTTTGCAGTGTTGTTTTGGCAGTGTGGATAAGGAAATATATTTTACTCAACCACATAGAGCTGTTTTTTGGATCTTCAGTGTAAGCTTGAAAGCTTCTCTCTTTCACCAACAGGAGTTGGTTCAGTAAAAGATTGTATCACCCACCTTCAACCTTAATAATGTTCTTTTAATTTAGCTTTTTTTGTTTAACTTCGTAGGTTTTTAAAAAAACAAACTAAATAAAAATAATGTCATCATGTTGATACTCACATGAATTATAAGCAGCACTGGACCTCTGCACTTAATGGCATTACTGATAGCTATAGTAGGTTGTCATCCTTTATATGGATTAGCATTATACGGCGATGAGACATACTTTGCCACTGGGTTTCACAGATATTTGCTGACACCAGAGGAATGGTGAGGCTCTGAAATCTTGATTTCCACTCCAGGCTCTGGAGGAGTGCATCCTCTAGTGGGCACAGACTCTTCTGCTTGTTTTCCCCTTCTGTCCCATCTCCTCCAACCTGTCCCTGTCAGTCCTGTCTCGTTGCCCTAGCCTACTTGCCCAGGCAGTCCTAATCACCCTTTGCACTGCAGCTCCTTGTCAGATCTGTCTCTTTTCCTTCTCTGCCCCAATTCTTCCACCACGATCACCACTGGTTGCTAATCTTAGTCTTCGTCCAGCCAGTCCTAATTTCCTCCCCTTCCCACAGCTCCTTATTTGATCTCATTGTTCCCACCAGCTAATTGTCTCCCACTTCCATTTCTCTCACTGGCTCTCCGTCTTCTCACTGAGCTTGTAGTCCTAGTACTCTTGTCCAACCATTCCCAGATCCCCTTTATCTCCCATTCACATTTTCTCTCCCTGCATCTGGTCCCAGTCCACCAGATTCCTTGTCCCAGTCTGCTCTTTTCCCTGCCCCTGATCTCCATTTGACTCAGACAGTTTCTTTCTCCATGTTGCCCGAGTGCCACCCAGATGATCACTGAGAGGACAGATGAAACACAGTGAGAGCAGCTATTACAGAGAGAGTCATTCTGGGCCTATATAGCCCTGGACTGGGCTTAGACCATGATTCTGCAACCTGATGATGTGAATGGAATCCATTGAAGTCAGGATCTAAGGTCTTGGACTGTAAATTCTTCATATGGCCTTGTGATCTGCTTGCACAGTTCATCTGTTTTATGGTGGTTTATGTATGTGAGCAACAAGATGCAATCTACTCCTAGACAGTGTGAATTGAACATAATATCAAATGTCACATTTCCTCTTAGGTCTAAAATAAGGCTTTGCATTTGGCCTATACCTTCTAAAGTTTGAGCTATCACCTCAAAGAGTCAGAGTTGAACTCCTTTCAAATTACTAGCAGCTGAAGGTTGCAGCATGTCATGGTTACAGGGCAAGCTGTGACTTGAGCCCTTTTACAGTCCCTCTCAAGTGCACCTCTCAGGTGGCAGGCTTTGCTTTCTTCATCTCTCTCAAGGGTAGAGCCCTGCAGTTCAAACACTCTTAGACTGTATCTCTGGATTTCAGAACTGCCACCACTCCCCCTGCCCCTTTCCCAACCGTGTTAACACAACAGGCCCAACTGCATTTGGCATCTGCAAGAAACTTTTCTCCAGGAGGCTGTGACAAACAGCTGACTGAAGTGACTCAAAACAGCTTCTTCAAAACAAATGTATTGTTTGTTCACTCAAAGGTACATTGCAATCAGAGAGTAGGGTTAAAACAACAAAAGTTCTACATTTCCCTGGCAGCTTGGGCAAGCCTCACTTACATGGACCCATCCCACAGGGTCTGTGTTTCAGTTCCTCTGAGTGTCCCCTCAAGCAGTGGCTGATGACTGAATTCCCTCTCCCTCTCGAGAGGAAGTTTTTAACTGTTCAGTGATCTTAGACTCTGAACCTTGGCAAACCAGCTGTATAATTTGCATGGAGTCTGGAAATAGCATCTTCCTAATTAATAACCCACCCATTGTTCTCTTAACACCCTGGAAGTTGTTTATGCAGAGGTGATTTATCTCTGACCATTGTTTTGTTTCCTATTTGCTGCTGTTAATAGTCCCTTTTTATTTAATCCACATCATCAGACAGAATAATATCAAGCAGGTAAACTGAGGTACACAGAATATTTATAAGTAATACAGTTATCTCCCATGGTCTGTACACACTCTATATCACTCGAAATTTTCCTGATAGGCAATAAGGTCTTGGATTTGATCTATGGCCTCAGTCTCATGATGATCTGGCCATTCTAAAAGTTGTCTTTTAATATAGCTTTCTTTTTTAAATGCCTACTTTTAGTAGTGCTATGTATTTTGCCATGACAAAGTCCAAGTGAAGCCTCCAGCAAAAGCGAAGTAGAGAATCTGTGTCTTGTAATATGAAGGATATATTTTCCACTTGGTTACAAGACTAATGAGGCTTCCTGGCATTCCTGGCGAAAATGTTTGCCCGGTTTATGAGTAATCTTTTATCTCCTGTATAATAAAGTGGAGGGCTTTTTTCTCCCCTTGCATCAGATCTTTTAAGATGTTTAAGATTGAGTACTCATGTTTTAGGGTCCCTTTGTTCAGGATGAATGGAATTGATGGGCTGTAAATGAAAAGACAGGAAATAACTGATTTGGAGATGTGTGAAACAGACTGCTTTCCCAATCACTTTTTGAAATTCACTAAGCTTTGGAAGAAAGAACAAAAAATAGTACACCCGTCATTGCCTGAAACCTGTAAATAGGGACATTTGGGGAGGCAGGGGAATGCATCTTAATTTCTTTGGCGTGAGACTGCTCTTTAAACTGAATGAATGGAATATAGATGTTATGCTTTATTAAAGAAAGGGGTCGGGGGAGGGTCAGTTGTTCAAGGATGCCTTCAGTCAAGGTATGCCAGATTTATAACAATCTACCTGACAGTGGAATTTTACCCTAGGTGTAAATTCCACATAACCCCTCCACCTTACTCCTGCTAGTTTTAATCTTAATGTTTTCCAGATTGTTAAATTATTTCAATGGTGCTTCCTAGATTTGTTTGCAGAATGACAATACACATGTTTGAGAACACCTACAACTACATCATTTCATTAAACCATCTAGAATGCTGAAAATTTTCACACTGTTTAATTTAGATTTATATCCTAAGTTTTTATTGTTGAAGCTGGTTCAGATCTTCATTTTCTAAAATGCTTGTATTACCTCTGCAAAATAGTTCTTTCAGCCCTGGATTCTGAACATTGATTTTGTTTGCATAGAAAATGAAATTAATCTCAATATCTGTTTGCCAAATCTGGCTTTGCACGAAATGTTCTCAGTGAAAATAAAAGACGTGCTTTTGAATATGAACTTTTACTTCAGAAAAAATAAAGTAATACTTTGTAGGTCTCTGAACGAATGACTCAGATGTTTTTACACAGGTGTGAAAAAGTGTCAATTATTAGGATTTGTGCAAATTAAAACTGTAGACCAGTTTATAAAACCTATATAACTAATTTAATCGACTTGTTAATGGGCAATACAAATCTGAAATGGACACTAGTTTCTACAACTTTACTTGCTTAAAAAATTGACATACATTAGGTTTAAAACCGCATCAGCCTTTAAACTGTGTTTGAAAAAAAATTACACCTTGATTATACATGCATAAATTAGAGAATGGCATCCTACCCTGACAAATTCTAAGATAGATACAGGTTTCAGAGTAGCAGCTGTGTTAGTCTGTATCCACAAAAAGAAAAGGAGTATGTGTGGCACCTTAGAGACTAACAAATTTATTTGAGCATAAGCTTTTGTGAGCTACAGCTCACTTCATCGGAATGCATCCAATGAAGTGAGCTGTAGCTCACGAAAGCTTATGTTCAAATAAATTCATTAGTCTCTAAGGTGCCACAAGTACTCCTTTTCTTTTTGAAGATAGATACTCACTCACTCACTCACTCTCCCATTGACTTCAACAGGATTTGTGCATATATGCCTGAGGGGAGAATTTAGCCCATTACCACTAGTTTATAATCCATTTTTCATTCAGTGTTTATTCTAATGTACTTTCTTATTAACGGGATGGCCTTTGCTTGCAACAACCAAGCTAGTCCTGCCCTTGTCTTCTCTAGTGTTTGATCATTTGGATGGACAAGATTTTATATGCCTTTTCTCATGTAATGTGACCTCAGGTTAACTGTTGGCAATGCTTATAGTAGATCTGTCAGTTGCATTTTCCCTCAAGGAATTGCTACCTTGCAGTTTATTGCTTAGTAAGGTGTGTGGTGGGATACAGTAAAACTTGAAAAGCAGTAACTGCAAATAACAATGTTAAAGAATGTTAGATTTCTTAAAATTGTGATTTTTCTTTCAGAATCAACTTTCCTCTACAAATAAAATATCTTCCTAATGAAACAATATTGACATTAAAACTATTTGGAGTAAACTGTGTATCTAAAAATACAGAAATACTGGCTTGGACGTGTTCCCCCTTGTATCAAAAACAGTAAGTACATTTTTGTATGATAGGGTTTTTTTAATAGTGTTCTTTAATTAAGTGCTATACTCTGCATGAAAGGGAGGCCTGGAAGGAATATACAAACAAATGAACACGAATTTGAGCAGCTAAACAGAACTTTATTGCAATAAGGTATGAAACAGTCACTTTCAATAATTGTTCCTCCTTTCCATACAGAGCTCTTTCAAGTCCTGATTTTCCTGAACCCCTTTGGATTGGGCTTCTCTGACTGTCCACCAGGTTACCCTAGAAAATTCCCCAGTCATGTTGAAGGGCCTTGTTGCCTTCCCATACCCTCACTAAACTACCCTCTCGTTCAGACTACTTTCTTTCCGGGTCTGCTTTCCTGTTTCCTTGCCCCCTGACCCTTTCCACACACTCACTTCTCATACTTCCCAGAATGGTGCTGCTAGTTGGGACTACACTGAACAGTTTCTCTGTTCCCTCCCCATAGTTTAGAAACTTCCCTCATATTTTAACTTTCCCTTTTTCCCCAACACTCAGTTTAACATTATTTTAGAGCTGCTTGTAGGTTATGAATTCCTCTGTAACTCTAAAGAAATACCTAGGGTGAAATATTCAAAAGTGACTAAGTTACATTTTATCTTTGACTTGGGCTAAGGCCGGATTTTTAACTATATTTATACTCATAGACTTTAAGGCCAGAAGGGACCATCATGATCATCTAGTCCAGGGGTTTGCAAACTGGGGGTCTTGAACCCTCAGGGAATCACGAGGCTATTACCTGGGGGGGGTTGAGAGCTGTCAGCCTCCACCCCAAACGCCGCTTTGCCTCCAGCATTTATAATGCTGTTAAATATATAAAAATGTGTTTTTAATTTATAAAGGGGGTTGCACTCAGAGGCTTAGAATGTGAAAGGGGTCACCAGTAAAAAAGTTTTGAGAACCACTGATCTAGTCTGAGCTCCTGCACTTTGCAGGCCATAGAATCTCACCCACCCACTCCTATAATAGACCCCTAATCTCTAGTTGAGTTACTGAAGTCCTCAAACCCTGGGTGCAGTATTGTAAACCCCCCTCTCACACACAATAGCCTTGTGACTCCTCCACAGCTCCTTTTTGGGTCAGAACCCCTACAATTACAACACCGTGAAATTTCAAATTTAAATAGCTGAAATCAGAAAATTTACTATTTTTAAAATCCTATGACTTTGAAATTGACTGAAATGGACCATGAATTTGGTCAGGCCCCACCAGTATACATAAGTAAGAAAATACAAGAATACTTCCCATTACAGCTATTTCAGTATTTTATAGGTCCTAGCTCAAATGACCCATCAAAGGAGAAATTAAAGCTCGGTGTAAGAGGAGGAATACTTTAGAATCTGTGTGTTCTACATTCACCGATCTGTTAGCTATGTCATTCACAATTAAGAGAAACTACTAGAATAGAGAAGCATAGGTGCTTTCCCTCCTCTAGCCAACCACAGCTCCACAAAATTGGTTACTTACCATGATTTGAATTGATAGACCAATTTAAAAACAAAAGCACCCCTGAAATTCAGTCACAAAAGTGAAACTTGAAAATATCTAAACACTCAGTCAGTCTGCTTTACTATTCCATTAGAGCCATACCTGGATATTTTGTAGTTGGAACAAAATACAGTCTCTGAAAGGTGAAATACCTACAAAGTAACAGAAATAAGATTTTGGGGAATTCTGCCACTTTGACACAGGTGATTCTGACAAAGGAATCTGATTGGCTAATCGGAAGGGTTCCAGTCCAGGAAATTAAGGGACAATAACTGCAGTGTGTGGAGCTCCTTCTTCTTACTATTTTTCTCCATTCAAAACATCAATCATTTAATCTTTAATTTTTGTTCACAAATTTTATGCAGAAAATTGTAACAGTCCTGTAATACAGAAATGATAAGCAAGAATAGTGATAAACTATGGGCTAAATTCTACTCTCATCTTCACCGATGTGACTCTACAGTGACGCTAATGATTTCAGTGGAATAATTTTTGACTCACAGTGGTGTAAATGAGAACTTAAACAGAAACACACACTAGTGATGCATTGTCCCAGGTTACTGGGAGTGTCTCATATGAATGCAATGAGACTAGATATTAAAGAATTCTAATGAACGTTTCATGGTATTGCTACAGTGCAGAATTAAGATTGTCTGGGTGCCCTGACCGTGCATTTCTATACCTTAACATGTTTGGATTTCTTTTTATGTTTAATGTCAACTATGAATTTCTTGGATTTATAATAGATGGTTTGGGGATAATTGCAGTATTTCTGTCACATATTTTATCTTTAACCATTGATATGTCCTTTCAACCTAACTCCATTTTAACATAGTTTTCATCTGGAAATATAAATAATAAAACTGCTAATCATGGCCCCTGACTTTTCTAACCAATAACCCTAATATTCATGCTGCTTGCCCTTATATGCCAACTGGTCGTATATAGAATGTAATTACCAAAAGGGACCTACATGGTGGAGTTTAGCAGGAGCACTTGTTAAACTCGAGAAGCTGTTCAGTAAGTATTGTATTTGCAATGACAGTGCCAAGTCTCTTCCTTGCACATCAGGAAAATCTGTTTGTCTCTTGGGCTAAATAGTTTAGAGTTCCAAACCTAATTAAGACATCAGAAATCCATCATTTTGGGCAATTTCGGAGAGGTAATGTCTCCCACAGTGCTCATTGCTCTGAGTTCACCGCTTCTAACAACACAGCTTATTTTGAAGTTGTATTTCCAAATCAGAGAGAGCAGGCAACATAATTTTCTTTTGCTGGTCTCAGCAAGCGAAGTCCCCCATGTGACTTCAGGGCACAAGGTTGAACTTGTAACTTAATGTGGCTTGAGCTGTCCTTAAACCTCTTTCTTGTCTTGTAACGTAATGAGCCTGGGACTTTACTTTAGCTCCTGTTATAAACAAGAGTAGGAAATCTGTGTAGTTGAAGGTGTTCTCACTTGTCATTGGTCTGTGGAAATAAATAAATAGTATTAGAGATATAGCACAGTTTGTTCACAATCCATATTTTATTGTTAAAGGAACTTTGTCATACAGATAGTGAGACAATAGAGAGACCATGTTAGTGAAGTTGTTGGCCCTTTTCTTTTCAGAATCATCCCATCACGCTATAGCACCTGCTCTTCCTGCCAGTTGCATCATTCTTCTGTGCATAAAGAAATGCCCAGTTATTGCCATCCTGTCTCCAGACTTGGTTCTAGAGACCTGCAATCCATGTTACTGCACCATAATTCTGTGGGGGCTCCAGTGGAAACTGGGCTTTAAATGATGTGTAGTTTCTGTATTCTTGTGGAGCCCTCTTCCCCTGGTTACAGGGTGTCTCATATGACTTTAGGCTTGTGCTTCTTTAAAGAGTTTGACTTAGTGATGTAAACACACTGATTCAGTGCAACCAGATAAAATAATACAGTAATTTGTGTCATTCATTTGTGTGTGTGTGTGTACACACACGAATGAATGAATGAATGAATGAATGAATGACACAAATTACCGTAATACTTTATTTGGTTGCACTGAATCAGTGTGTTTATATCACTAAGTTTATATATAGTGTGCATGTGTGTCATAAGTACTACATATTTATCCAACCACATATACTGGTTCCTTTTTTTCCAATTCTACACTATTCAAGCAGCCTTGCTGCTCTGTGTATTTTAATCACTATCTCCTGATCAAACATAAATATCTCCTCCTCTGCTTTCTCTCTACTTTATGCTTCTGTTATTCTGTTTTGTGTTCATCCTACCTTGCTGACCAGTTCTTTAGCTTCTCATTTGGTACCATATCATCCTTTCTTACCTCCCATTCTTCTCCCCAACACACACACACACACATCTGGCAAAATTCACTATTTGCTCTACAGATAGGTCAGGACCAGAAAGTTCTGATTTAGATTCCAATCTTAGCTCCACAGGCCCATCTCCGTTCTTTCCTTGATCCACTCTTCTCCTTCCGTACTCTCTCTGGGTGATTTTGATTGACTCCCATGGTTTTAACTACCTCTTATAAGCAGGTGATTCCTAGATATTTAACCTTGAACTCTGCCTTCTTTACAATCTCACATCTTCCACTGTGTCTGAGAAATCTTCTTCTGGATGCCCCGTGCTATCTCATAATCAGCCATTCCAAATCAAAACTACTACGTTTCTTCTCTGTGGGCTGGTCATGTTTTGTAATCTCCCCTTCTTTTATCCCTTCGCTGGCTTCCTGGCTTCTTACTCCATCAAATTCAAGCTCCTTGTCCCTTCCTTCAGCACCAGGTATAAATTTGCCCTCCTTATTCTGCTCTTACTTCCTCCTGTTCACCTTCATGTTGCTCTCAGTTTTCTCCTTACTGCTCTATCTTCTGATTTCCTCTGCTGCCCCTGGCATTTAAAACAGTCCTCTAGCTCTCATTCGTCAGGCTCCTGCATGCTCATTCTTCAAAAAATCTCCTTAAAAAAACATTTTTTTTATCAAATCTTTCCTACCTTGTTGCCCCATCCTCGTTTGCCCTGACAGTTGCCCCGTTCTTGCCTTATCTCTCTCAGAGGTTTCCAGGTCAGGAACCACAGCTCTATGGATTTTTTTAAAGTACCACATACATTTGTAGTGCAATATAAATGATTAGTAATAATAAAAGGGGGTGAGGTTAGTTTAGCCTCCATGTCCATTCAACCCTTGGCTGCTCAGCTGAGACTGCTAAGAATAGTACCAATTAATGCTGATTATGGTGAGTTGTTGTGATCTGAACACCTGCCCTCTAGGAAACAGCTGAAGAGCAGCAACTCATTTCATAAAGTTCACCCAAATAAACATCAGCTGAAACACTTTTCAGTCACTATTGATCTGGTTCAAATTCAAACTAGTGGCCTAAAGGTGAACGGCTTCATATTTCATGACTAGTTTCCCCCAATATCTTGTTCACATCAGTATTCTTTGTTCCCCATACAACTACAGCTGCAAAACAAACTTTTGAAAATCACTTGTCTTTGATCCTCCTGAATTTTGCTCTCTCAGTGAAATAGTGTTTGCACTAACAACACCAATATCTTCAGAAGTAAAAAACAAACTGTACTTTTACTCTGAATGGTGGCTGCAAAGATGATATTGCAGGGTTCCCATGTTTCTTGTCTCAATGACTCTAAAGCAATTTAGTTCAGTTTGCAATTCAGCATATTCCTTTTTTGTCAGTGCTGCAAACTCATGCTGGGATCAGAAAACCCACCTATGTTCTTATATCCTCACCACTGCTAAAGATTCTGTGTTCTGAACTCATTTATCCATTTTGTTATTGCTCTAGTAGGCAGAAAGGAATTTAGTTCATTCTCCCACAGCTGTATTGATTGTGCAGTGCTACACAGTAGTAAAAAATTGCCTGTCACTAAAAATAATTATTTAGGAATAGAAAAAATGTTGAATATGCCCTTTTATACATAATTTTGATTTCTGATCTTAACCCGACCAGCCGTCAAGATATGAGTAAATTAAAAGGCAAAACAGATACACTGTATCTTAATCCAAGTGAGTGGATTCATTATGATTAGGACTTGTACCTATGTCTTTCCAAATGTATTCAATCACTGTTGAATGAATTATATTGACCTGCAATTTTCTTATATGAAGACAGTGTGCATGCATGTTTCTGATCAGACTTTTGTTTGTGAATGTAGTGCTCAGACAAGTGCTAGAGGCTATACTCTTCTCTTTATCCACTGAACAGATAGTGCAAGCTTCCCCACTTGATTTCCTTCCTCCTAGAGCAGGGGTCTCAGACATGCGGCCTGCGGCCCTCCAAGCAGCCCGCCCCCGGCCTACCTCCAGGGTTGGAATGGGGGCAGGGAAGGTGTGGAAAGAGGCAGGGCAGGGCCTCATGGAAGAGATGGAGTGGGGGGACGGGGCCAGGAGCAGCAAGGGGTGGTGTTAGTGATGCGGCCCTCTGGCCAAGGCACGAGTCCTTATGTGGCCCTCGTTGTCATTTGAGTTTGAGATCCCTGTCCTAGAGGGACCATTTCTATGGGTGCTTCAGTCTCATACCCCTTCAGTCCTCCAAACTGATACTACTAAATCATGATGGTCTAGTCTAGCCTCCTGTGTAACATGTGTCATAAAACTTCCCCAAAGTAATTCCTAGAGAGCATACCACGTTTAAAAATTGTCAGTGATGGAGAATCCACCATGACCGTTGGTAAATTGTTCCGGTGATTTAATTACTCTCACTATTAAAAATGTGTGCCTTTTTTCCAGTCTGAATTTTTCTAGTTTGAACGTCCAGCTGTTGAATTGTGTTACACTCCTTTCTGATAGATTGGAGAGCCCGTTATTAAATATTTGTTACTCATGTAGATACTTTTTTCCTGAGCCATTGGTTTCAATGTTTCTGATATAATTTCAGTCAAGCCTGTCTGGTTTATCTCCGGTACTAATGCAGTATTTTATCTACGTATATTGATATTTTCAGAAAGTTCAATCATGGAACCATGCTGCTTAGCATGGCATTGCACAGTGAGCCTCCAACAACGATGATAGCGCCGGGTATTTGTGACACTAGCCTGCCAGCACTAGTAACACTGCAGGTAAGGACTGCTTTTTGAGAAAGCAAAGCAAGGACATTTTATCAAACAACTTGCAGTAAATGATTGATTACATGGTTCTTCCTGATCCCACAGTTTAGAAATCACAAGAGACCTCTGCTTGTATGCTATCAGCCTTTTTAATTGTGGGGGAGTAAAATTCTACATAACAGCAATTATACACCATACTCACTAAATCAGATGCAGGCTGTGGGTTTAAGGCACTGAGTAGATTACTTTTTCTTCTATGACACAAATTGCTGACCTGGTACCTGACTCTCAGCTGCGTTTTTATCCCACTTGTATCCCGTGTACCACTGAATTATCTGCCATTATACACATTGCAGGCAGCTAACAATTATCTGAGTCTGCAGAAAGGTCTGTGGGGAAGGAGCTACAAAGTGCATCTGTATTTATATCACTCTTAATCCATGACCAAATGCCAGGCTGCCATTGATGTCACTGTGAGCTCTGCGTGTAGACCAAGGGCAGTATCTGGCCTCCAAATATTGAAAAGACATTTTGTCTGTCCCCAGTGTTGTCCTGTTCCCAGATTGAACTGGTCATTTTAAAGGCACAGCCAATTGCTTTTCATATTCAAAAACCAAATGATCGTTATTAGCAAATGAAGCACAAAGGCAAGCAATGTCAATAAATGAGGCTGGGCTAAAAATGCCCTATTTTTTAGCAAGTTTCTAGTTGGAATAATACAGTCAAAGAGGGCTCCTTAAAATAGCTTTCTCTGTATTAATAATAAAAGGAAGGTGAGGCAGTAGAGGGCTGCTAATTTAAAATCTGTCTTTCAGCTCTAAGAAACAGCAGAGAAGAATCTCCCACTCCCGTCCCCTCCCTTCCCATACTCAGTTATGCCTGTAAATATGACAGTTGGAGACACTGTGAAAATACAGGAAAAGCTGCCTTAAAAAAACCCAGCTCTTTTGATGTGACTGCTGTGTGCTATAATTCCTAGGAGTACTGTATTCTGGGAACCAGTTTGTTGGTCGTATTTTTTTGGTTAATGGTTTGTGAGATTGAGTATGCACATATATATTGGTTAGAGAGGCTGCTTTTCTGGTCCTGCTGTGAATGTCTATTAATACATTATAATGTAAATTCTATGATACGCAAATTGAACTGGATTAAAAAACTGAATTTTCATCTAACCTGCCACTCAAACCTAAAACACGTTTGAGCTTTGAAAAAGTTTGGTTAGCAGCTTTCCCCCCATTTTATTACATTACTTAATGAAACTTTGCACTTCCCAGACCAAGCTGGAAGTGAAAATGATGAAAACTCATGAGAGGCTGTTCTTGTGCCTTTAACAGGCCAGTCAGAAACAAGAAATTACCAAAAACAGCCTGCTTTACTGTATTTTCCAGCCTACTCTTGCAAAACCAAGAACTTAGAGCCATAACAAAACTTGGGGATGCTGTTGATTCAAATTGAAAAGAACCTTCAAAAAAACCACATTTTTGAGTTTTTTCCCATAATTCGATGAAGCTAAAAATGGGCCTGTGCCAACCCCTGTCTCCTTACCTCAGTATGAAGACCTCCCAACTTTGGGGAAATTAATATCCAGATCTGAACTTTGCAGCTTGGTCCCTGTCTTTTACAATCCAAATCAATATGCAGACTCTGAACTCCTCCTCCCCCACACTGTTCTGGAGAAGTACTGATCTGGGTTGAAACTTTGAAGCTCAGGCCCATCTCTAGTTAAAAGTAGGGAGGGAGAAGCCTTTAACCTGGAGTCCCATGCAGACCTAATGAGGTTGAGATACAATGGGTAAAATCCTGGCTCCATTAAATTTAGAGGCAAAACTCTTCTTGACTTCAATGGGGCCAGGATCGTCACCCAATAGTTCTGAGTAAAATTCATTCATACAATAAACACTCCTTTTGCAATTATCCTGTCTCCCTTTCCCCCTTTTTTTTCACATTTTCTCTACATATTTAGGATGCCATTCACTAACAATCATACTCAGATATCTATCTGAGAACCCTTTTATGCAAATTTCTACACAAGACATCACCATTTTTTTTTTTAGATTGACTTTCCAGAAACTAATTTGGAGTTTATTAAACCGGAGCCTGAAGAAAAAAGAGATGACCTTGAAGAGCCAGCTAAAGAGTGCTTGAAGCATATAGCAAGACTTTCACAGAAACATTCTCTCTTGCTGTAAGTGCATCCAAGTCTTCCTGCTTACATCTGGTATGCTGTGCATAACGCCATCAATCACTCTTAAATGTGTTCAATTCTTGAAAAGCTAAATTTCCCACCTGATTTCATTCATTTGATGAAGTAATACTTCTAGACGAGAGGAAAAGGTGGCAATGAAGCTAAAACAAGTCCCAGAAGGTGACAATGCCTTTCTGTAGCTTAGAACACTTTGTCTCTATTCTGTTATCTTTTCTGGCTATCTTGGCACTAGAAGCAAACTGCTGATTTGAAGCACAAATATTTGTCTCGAGCTATATAATTTTCAATAATAATAGTATTAGCAATTTTAAAAATTGGGCTGGATTAAAAACCAACACCAGTAAATAATAATGATAAACCCATACTATTAGGCCATCGTACTCACCAAGTGGCATACAAGCATTAGAAAGGCAATCTGTATCTTGTTCCTCAGTAAACAAGGAAACAATTATGCAGAATTTAGCTTTCACAGCAGGCATATAAAGAATAAGTAAAACAAAACATGTTGTATCATCTACTCAGGCAGATTAGTAACCCTAGACATATCTAGGTTATATTATCAAGTAGCATTATGTACTGTCTAAAATAACAATTATAGTGAGACCCACAGTGGGGTTAGTGGTATCAATGTTTGCTGGCTGGCATTATACAAGTCACTAACGCTTGTTCATTAATCCTTCACCACAGGCTAAAGATGTCATAGTAATGTAATAAATAAATATAAAGTCTCTTTTTAAACTTCCCAATGATGTTCTGTTATACACATGTAAAGGAGGTTTTCTTTACTAATTTTATTTTTGGGGGGAAAAGATATTTATCGAGTTTATAAATTTCTGTTGGCTACAATGAACTGGTCGTATGTTTAATGTTACCATCTCTTCTCATTTCTAAAAAGGCAGGATGTGATTTAAATTTCTTTGCTTTTAACCACTGAGGGCTGTTAAGCAGGACTGGGGCTGGTCAGTACTTGGATTACAGTCTTTTAAGGAAAATATAGTAGCTGCAAGAAGTGGCATTCATGGTTCAGTAGGCAATCATTACTTCCAAGTTAGTACAGAACCAAAACTGCTTCAGTGTGGTGCTCAGGGTTGTCAGCTTCTGGAGGGGACATTCTTTTGATAAGATTTGTAAGTGAGACCGTGAACCCTCATGACGAGGCACAGAATCAGAAGGTTTCAGAGGGGTAGCCATGTTAGTCTGTATCAGCAGAAAGAATGAGGAGGACTTGTGGCACCTTAGAGACTAACAAATTTATTTGAGCATAAGCTAAAGTCCACTTCATCAGATGCATATAGTGGAAAATACAGTAGGAAGATAGATAGATAGATATACAGAGCACATGTAAAATGGGGTTTGCCATACTAGCTCTAACGAGACCAATCGATTAAGGTGGGCTGTTATCAGCAGGAGAAAAAAAAACTTTTGTAGTGATAATCAGGATGGCCCATTTCCAACAGTTGACAAGAAGGTGTGAGTTACAGTAGGGGAGAAATTATCATGGGGAAATAGTTTTTAGTTAGTGTAAAAAGAACAGGAGGACTTGTGGCACCTTAGAGACTATCAAATTTATTAGAGCATAAGCTTCCGTGGGCTACAGCAACATGCATCCGGTGAAGTGGGCTGTAGCCCACGAAAGCTCATGCTCTGTTAAAGTTGTTAGTCTTAGTAAGGTGCCACAAGTACTCCTGTTCTTTTTGCAGATACAGACTAACACAGCTGCTGCTCTAAACCTTTAGTTAGTGTAATGACTCATCCATTCCTAGTCTTTGTTCAAGCCTAATTTAATGGTATCCAGTTTGCAGATTAATTCCAGTTCTGCTGTTTCTCGTTGGAGTCTGTTTTTGAAGTTTTTTTGTTGTAATATTGCGACTTTTAGGTCTGTAATTGAGTGTCTGGGAAGGTTGAAGTGATCTCCAACTGGTTTTTGAATGTTGTAATTCTTGATGTCTGATTTGTGTCCATTTATTCTTTTGCATAGAGACTGTCCGGTTTGGCCAGTGTACATGGCAGAGGGGCATTGCTGGCACATGATGGCATATATCACATTGGTGGATGTGCAGGTGAAAGAGCCTCTGATAGTGTGGCTGATGTTATTAGGTCCTATAATGGTGTCCCTTGAATAGATATGTGGACACAGTTGGCAACGGGCTTTGTTGCAAGGATAGCTTCCTGGGTTAGTGTTTTTGTGGTGTGGTTCCTGGTGAGTATTTGCTTCAGACTGGGGGGCTGTCTGTAAGCGAGGACTGGCCTGTCTCCCAAGATCTGTGAGAGTGAGGGATCGTCCTTCAGGATAGGTTGTAGATCCTTGATGAGGAATCAGAAGGGTCATTTTAAATGGTCCATTTCTCCCTCTCTTTCTCTTTCACGCACACATCTTATAGCTTCATTTGTATTTTTTTTTAAACCTGTATTCCTTTTTTAAAAGCTTTAACTGTTTTTCTCTTTTGGTTCCATTAATAAAAGTTCAAAGTTGTTGTTTTTTTACGGTGGTTGTTGCAATCAGAGTAAGCCAGACTACACTTAACTGCTTAATGTTATAATAATGAAGAAGGGTTTGTTAACATCTTATCTCTTGTTGGGCCCAAGAAATCTCCTTATCAGCACAACAATCCTCGGATGCTATATATGTGCAAAGTATTATTGTCACCTAGACTGAACATCTCTTTAGACATAAACTTTTACTATGACAGATAAACCTAAAACCTTTACCCTGATCAAATCTTTAAAGACAGCCGTTAAACAAGACAGTAACTCAGCAAAACAAGATAGGAAAGAGAAGACTGCCCCGTCACTGTAGAGGAATGGGGTAGATACAAGAAAGCATTGGTCTTTTATCTAACCATTTTTAAGCTTTAGCTGATTTAATCTGAACAGACTGTCATGTTCAGGAGATGCTGTTGGGAAACTAGAAAATCTCTAACGTCAACATGCAAGAGGTGTCCTCTAATTGCAATGTCTCACTGAATGCTGTTGGAGTGTAAAGGAACACATGACTGACCATCAAAAAGTTAAAGCTTTATCTCCTCTGCAGTGTGTGGCACACACACACACCCCCTCCATACAAACACAAGGATTGCTGGCTGCTGCTATTGTGAGCACTCTGTGAATTGTTGAGCTACACAAAGGAGATCATGGATCACGCTGCCACTATTTGTATCTAAAGTTTAAAATATATTTTGTTTATTATAAAAAGAAAAGGAGGACTTGTGGCACCTTAGACACTAACCAATTTATTTGAGCATAAGCTTTCATGAGCAACAGCTCACTTCATCGGATGCATACTATGGAAAGTGTAGAAGATCTTTTTATATACACACAATGCATGAAAAAATACCTCCTCCCACCCCACTCTCCTGCTGGTAATAGCTTATCTAAAGTGATCACTCTCCTTACAATGTGTATGATAATCAAGGTGGGCCATTTCCAGCACAAATCCAGGGTTTAACAAGAACCTCTGAGGAGGGGAGGGGGGTAGGAAAAAACAAGGGGAAATAGGTTACCTTGCATAATGACTTAGCCACTCCCAGTCTCTATTCAAGCCTAAGTTAATTGTATCCAATTTGCAAATGAATTCCAATTCAACAGTTTCTCGCTGGAGTCTGGATTTGAAGTTTTTTCGTTGTAATATCGCAACTTTCATGTCTGTAATCGCGTGACCGGAGAGATTGAAGTGTTCTCCGACTGGTTTATGAATGTTATAATTCTTGACATCTGATTTCTGTCCATTTATTCTTTTACGTAGAGACTGTCCAGTTTGACCAATGTACATGGCAGAGGGGCATTGCTGGCACATGATGGCATATATCACATTGGTGGATGTGCAGGTGAACGAGCCTCTGATAGTGTGGCTGATGTTATTAGGCCCTGTGATGGTGTCCCCTGAATAGATATGTGGGCACAGTTGGCAACGGGCTTTGTTGCAAGGATAGGTTCCTGGGTTAGTGTTTCTGTTGTGTGGTATGTGCTTGCTGGTGAGTATTTGCTTCAGGTTGGGGGGTTGTCTGTAGGCAGGGACTGGCCTGTCTCCCTAGATTTGTGGTCAGGGTGAAAGCTGGAGGTATGTAGGTAGGAATAGTGGTCAGTAGGTTTCCGGTATAGGGTGGTGATTATATGACCATCATTTATTAGCACTGTAGTGTCCAGGAAGTGGATCTCTTGTGTGGACTGGACCAGGCTGAGGTTGATGGTGGGATGGAAATTGTTGAAATCATGGTGGAATTCCTCAAGGGCTTCTTTTCCATGGGTCCAGATGATGAAGATGTCATCAATATAGCGCAAGTAGAGTAGGGGCATTAGGGGACGAGAGCTGAGGAAGCGTTGTTCTAAGTCAGCCATAAAAATGTTGGCATACTGTGGGGCCATGCGGGTACCCATAGCAGTGCCGCTGATCTGATCCTACCTACATGCCTCCAGCTTTCATCCTGACCACACCACACGATCCATCGTCTACAGCCAAGCTCTGCGATACAACCGCATTTGCTCCAACCCCTCAGACAGAGACAAACACCTACAAGATCTCTATCAAGCATTCTTACAACTACAATACCCACCTGCGGAAGTGAAGAAACAGATTGATAGAGCCAGAAGAGTTCCCAGAAGTCACCTACTACGGGACAGGCCTAACAAAGAAAATAACAGAACTCCACTAGCCGTCACCTTCAGCCCCCAACTAAAACTCCTCCAACACATTATTAAGGATCTACAACCTATCCTGAAGGATGACCCAACGCTCTCACAAATCTAAGGAGACAGGCCAGTCCTTGCCTACAGACAGCCCCCCAACCTGAAGCAAATACTCACCAGCAACCACATACCACACAACAGAACCACTAACCCAGGAACCTAACCTTGCAACAAAGCCTGTTGCCAACTGTGCCCACATATCTATTCAGGGGACACCATCACAGGGCCTAATAACATCAGCCACACTGTCAGAGGCTCGTTCACCTGCACATCCACCAATGTGATATATGCCATCATGTGCCAGCAATGCCCCTCTGCCATGTACATTGGTCAAACTGGACAGTCTCTACGTAAAAGAATAAATGGACACAAATCAGATGTCAAGAATTATAACATTCATAAACCAGTCGGAGAACGCTTCAATCTCTCTGGTCACGCGTTTACAGACATGAAAGTTGCGATATTACAACAAAAAAACTTCAAATCCAGACTCCAGCGAGAGACTGTTGAATTGGAATTCATTTGCAAATTGGATACAATTAACTTAGGCTTGAATAGAGACTGGGAGTGGCTAAGTCATTATGCAAGTAACCTATTTCCCCTTGTTTTTTCCAACCGCTCCCTCGCCCCCCCGCCCCCCAACGTTCTTGTTAAACCCTGGATTTGTGCTGGAAATGGCCCACCTTGATTATCATACACATTGTAAGGAGAGTGGTCACTTTAGATAAGCTATTACCAGCAGGAGAGTGGGGTGGGAGGAGGTATTTTTTCATGCTTTGTGTGTATATAAAAAAATCTTCTACACTTTCCACAATATGCATCCAATGAAGTGAGCTGTAGCTCACGAAAGCTTATGCTCAAATAAATTGGTTAGTCTCTAAGGTGCCACAAGTACTCCTTTTCTTTTTGCGAATACAGACTAACACGGCTGTTACTCTGAAACCTTTGTTTATTATAGTAATTTGCTTAAAACTACTACTACTAGAAAATGACACTAGGTAAAATGTCTCTTATGTGGCCCCTGTCACTATCATATCTGAACAGCTCACACAATTATGAATTTATTCTCCTCACATCCCTCTGAGCCAAGGAAAGCAAATTGTCTTTCCTCGCAACACTGTACCTCATGTTTATTGTTTGTACTGCCAATACCCATTCCAAATGCCTGGCAAATTCAAAATTGATTGAAGGAAACCTTTTTTCACATAACGCACAATTAATCTGTGGAACCCATTGCCATGAGATATTACCAAAGCCAAAACTTAGCAGGATTCAGAAAGGGATAAACTATTTATTTGGCCTAAGACAAAGTTGGTGTTATAGCAGATCATGGGGGGAAGTGTTTAGAAGTGGATGCAAGCATTCACGTTTCAGAGCTTGATTCAACTTCCAACTATTGGGAGTTAGGAGAAAATTTTCCTGAAGGCAGGTTATCCCATTACTACCCACAGCAGGGATTTTTGAAGCTTCCTCTGATGCTGGTTATTGTCCAGGATGGGATGTTGGACAAGATAGATAGGTCTGATCTAGTGTGGCAACTCCTATGTTCTTTCAGAGCCTTAATGATATTTATAATGTTAATTCTGAATTTTGTCTATTTGTAATTTATTGTACATTTTTAAGGCTTGTTTTAAGTGCTTGAGTTTCAGCTAGGATTGCCTGTTTACATTAGCAATTTTATCTTGATGAAGTTTTTGTTTGTTTCTTTGTTTGTGATGATACCAAACCCTAAGATTTAATGAGGCTATTTGTTTTATGGACCAAGAAAATGCATATGAATTGTTGGCGCATTTAAGGACATATGGTACACATTAACCTGATGTTCTTTTCATTGGCTTACTGATTTTTGCAATACTGGGGGATGCCAAGGCATTTTATTAATATGACATTCGCCCTCTCTGTGGGGTAGGTGGCACTACACCCATTCTGCAGATGAGTAAAGTGAGGCATAGCAGGCCAGACTGGTTTTTTGAAAGAGGTTTGCCTGACAAGTTTGCTATTTTCCAGGATAATGAAAAGCATATTCCATTCTATATGATAGATTCATTCAGTTTCTAGTAACAAGTGATCAGTCAGATACTTAGTACTTATACCTCTTTGCACACCCTGTGCAAGGACCAAGAACAATCATGGTGTGTGTGTGTGTGAGAGAGAGAGAGAGAGAACACATCGCCTTTTTAAAAGTCTCGTATCCTAGAATGTATATGAATGCTGTCACCTGAGTTGATCGGTGGTGGAGAGCAGAGGAGTGAAAGTTGACTACCTGTGTTATAATCAGTAGTTGTCACCACAGTTAATTAGAGATGCTATAGAATAGGCAGTGGACATCACAGTAATTTCTCTGGCCAAAACTGCACACACTAAAAAACGACTGTGGAGAAAAAGAGAGAGCGAGCGTGACCTTGGCAATGTGAAATATCTGTATGTGCATCTCTTTTGAGAGTTCATCTTTATATGTCCCAAGGCTGACAGATCCAGATTATAAATATCACTTCTTCATAAGAGCTGGTGTGCAGAAAATGATATCCCATTCCAAGGAGAAGAAGTAGCTAGAAAGCAGTACCCCCTCTTTACAATAGTTTGCTGCTACACAAGGCTCTAGGTGGTTTTAATTTCAAACTGAATTTCTAATCTTCTCTTCCAGGTTGTCAGAGCAAGAGAGAAGATTTTTATGGTTTTATCGTTCCTACTGCAATAATGAAAACTGTTCTCTTCCTTTGGTACTGGGCAGTGCCCCCAGTTGGGATCGAAAGAGCATATCAGAAATGTATACTGTGTTGAGGGAATGGATCTTTTCTAACCCTTTGGAGGCACTTGGGCTTCTGACTTTCAGGTAAGAGAAAATTAACAAAGTCAGAAAATAACAATAAACAGACTCCTAGTCTTCTGATTAATTCAGCACTTTGAGTTGCTTAGTATAATACCAAGCTTTGGTTCATTGACTGTCTGCTTTCAGCTTTCCCTCTGTATCAAAATGAAGATGTAATTGGAACTCTTGAGCTGACCTTCAGTTGAATGCGCTGGCCCTGCCTTCTTGCCTGAGAAATTTGCTATTTTGCAGGATAATGAAAAGCATATTTCATTCTATATGATGGATTCATTCAGTTTCTAGTAACAGGTGATCAGTCAGATACTTAGCACTTATACAACACTTTGCATCTTAACGCTGCTGTACAGACACAAAGTGAGTAATGGAGATGGGGCTGAATCATGCTCCTAGATCAAGATGCTACCTCAAAGTGTGCATCTGGAAATGACCTTTGCCACTGGCCCTTCTTTCTGTAATAGAAACATCCCAAACTTTGGGAAAATTGAGAACTGGCTTCTAATGTTGCACTCTCATTGACTTTCAGTGAGAGCTGGGTGTCTTTTGTGCATCAGAAAGTGTCTCTGCTGTGGAGGGTACCTTTTAACTTGTGACATACATGATCTGCAGCAAAAAGAACCTGTGTCAGCAAACGTATTTTCTCAGGTTATTTTGGGGGAGGGGAGGCTTGTTTTAAGAAATCTGCCTGTGAAAATGTCACACAATTGGACAAAATGAGGGTGCAAATGATGCACTGTCAAGCCCTTGCTTGTCTGGGTGTTGAGCTTTCTACGATTAAAGCTGCAAATCCTGCTTTGCAAACTGATTTACTAGCTACAAACCATGTCTTTAGAAAAGAAATAAAAAGGAGAGGTTTTGGAGACTTCATCTAATCCCTTTGCCCAGTGAGTAAGGACTTCATACCCTCATTACTCATTTACAAAAACAGATACTTAAATATATATATTTAAAAATAACCACAGATAATTGTTGCTTTCCAGCATTATTCTTATCCCCCTTCTCTGGTTTAGGTTTGAATCCAAAGTATTAAGCTTCCCCACATACATACGAACATCTCCTATTGGAATGTAATGGGAGTTCTGCATGCAAAGATCTTGAAGGATTAGGTCCGTAGTGCATGGAAAGCCCTTTGGAACATTTGTGATTGTGCTCAAGCAGTGTATGTGTGCATACCATGTTTGCCATCATTGCAATATTTCTGCGCTTTCATGACTTACCAGAGCACCCTTTTATTTCATGTTGGAACAAATACAATGACAAGCACCACAATTGATGTTCTCTCTCCAGACCGGCAAAAGTCTTAATGGTGATTTAGGGAACACGCCAAAACAGAACCTGTTAACTGGTTACACCTACAGTTGGCATTTCTGGAGACAAAGGGCTCAATTATTCCTTGAAGATCCAGCTCTACATTGGGTGTGGTATGCAGTTTTATAGCCCCATCCAAAAGGCATTGTGACTCACATTGCCTGAAAGCCTTTCACAGAGCACAGTTGCTATGCTACATTTTTATGATGTGTCTTCACTGCAGTCCGAAAGTATGGTTGCAGCAAATGTAGGCACACCTGAGCTAACTTTGATCTAGCTAGATGAAAGCTAGCTTGAGTAACAATAATAGTGTAGCTGTTGCAGCACGGTTGGCAGCACAATCTATCCTCCTGAGTACAATCCCACCCAGAACCCTGGGTACATACTCGATCATGTCATAGCCACTGCTGCTGTGACTACTTTGTTGTTGTTACTCAAGCTAGCTTTTGTATAGCTAGATCAAAGCTAGTTCAAGTAAACCTACAGGAGTCACAACAGCACCTTCCAACTGCAGCACACCCTTATAAGATGCAATGTACACACCACTCTGAGTCTGTCCAGCTCTGCAAGTTGGCATGGCAGGGTGGGCTGAGGTCATAACTCTGACTCCTCCAATGCAGTCTGTGGAATGGCTGGCCAAGAGTAAATACTTGTGATTTGAGAGGGAAGGTTCCCCTAATTACATACCCTCACAGGAGATGTGCGCACCCTGGTTTATATTTTACAAACATGTTAACAAAAGAGGCCAGGGATCTCAATAGAAGTCGTCTTTTCTTTAGATATTCTGACTAGAAATATTTAATGTCCCTGGCAAGTTGCATGTGTGTTTAAGACGAACTGGGAAGCTGTCTTTGGGGATTAGGGGTAGTACACTGCTCACTAAATGTCCATTTTTAAAGGACCAGTTTCACAGATGGCTGAACTGCTAGAGGGGGGTGGGGGTTCAGCTGGCTGGGATTGTGGTGTCTTGTTTTTAACCTATTAAATAATTATCAGTTAAGTAGTAGCAGTGGCTGTATTGCTAACTTGGCTTCACATTCCCACTCTGACCTTCAATCAGTTTGGACTGCAGGTGCATTGACTAAGCTGTTGGGGAAGGCTTGCTCTACTCTGGTCTGAATTATGCTTGGCTCTGGCAGCTTTTGCCCTCTGCTCCTGATTTCTCAGAGCAACAAAATGTCCTCCTAATTTCTTTTGACTATGGATTAAGCTACAAAAGGATGTCATATGCAAACAAAAGGTGGGGTGTGTCTAACAGAAATGCCTCTTATCTCAGCGTGTGTTTTCTCATGTGATCCAATAATGAGTATTCTCCATTTAATTAAAGAGTTGTTTCATGGGGACTGGAAGGCTCAGGGTTTGATAATGGGATCTTTGATCTCTGGGTTGCTAGTTCAAATGTAGTCCAATGTGATGGTAACCAGAAGTCATTACCATCTGATGATTGTTCAGTGGCTTGTGTACATGAAATAAGTTGGCTGGTCTCTGGATAAATTTCTACATCACAGAAGTTGCCATGGCATCCGTCACCATTTGGCATGTTTATTATCAGTCTCATCCATGAAACTATGGGTCAAGATTTTCAGAAGTGACTGGTAATTTTGGGTGCTTCGGTTTTTGGTTGCTGCAGTTTTGGATTGCTTTATTTGAGACATCTTAAGGGACCTGATTTTCTGAGGGTGGGTGCTCAGCACTTTCTGAAGCACAGGCTAGGTGCCCAAAAATCTCTAGTCACTTTTGAAAGCTTTGGGCTAAAGAGACTAAATTACATGACCTTCTCAAAGCAAGGTTAAAGGACATTTCCTGAGCACTAAGCTCACTTTTGCAAAGGGTAAGAGGAAAGAAAAGAAGTCACAGGGGACAACATTCAATTGTCTTGATCGCAAGAAGTCAGTACATCCCATGCAATTTAGTAAGAGTTGCAGATGCTCGGTGCCACTCAGGATCAAGCCCCAACGTTCAGAGCACATAATACAGCTCTCTCTGCAATATAGTGTAGGTTTAAAATTTTTAGTTGCTCACAAGCCTGTTAAGTGTAATAGATGCATCTCATTCTTCTGGCATATCTCCCCTTTTGCTGACTATCTTCTCTACTTTACAAGCACTACTCTAGGCAGACTAATAATAAGCTAGTCATTTATGCACTAGAAAAGGAGAACTTTCCTAAACTGGAAACACATTCATGCTAGGTTTCACAGATAAATTTAGTAGCAGTCTTGCATCCAATACATGCATCATGCATGGATTCTTAGGGCCTCCCAGGAGCCAGTCCTTAAAAAACAATTTAAAAAACATTGAAGAGCTCTTTAATGAAGGAAGGAGAGTAGAGGGCAGAATAAGATTTTACGCTCATAGTTTTACCTCTAATTTCAGGGAAGGCTGATTACAAACTACAGTCTGAAAAATATAAATTTTCCCAAGGCAAAGGGTAGAAAGCTGGTCCCTCCTCCCCTGCACTGCTGGCTGCTGTCCTGTGCATCTCCATTTTCATCATTGGCTTCCCTTACTTACCTTCCTTGGGAGAAAGCCAAGATTTTAGTTCAACTCTCACTTCTCTGTGTGGCACACCAGCCAGGGAAATGATACAGGCACAGTTATTGTGGTGATGGAAAAAAGCCAAATGCAGTGTTATAAATGCCATCATATACATGGCGGGCACACTTATACCCTATATACATGTAGGGCAGGTGCACCTAAAAATTGTCAGGCTATTTTGCTTTTCAGATTACATACTGTGTTCTTTTATATTTGGTATTTATGAACACATTAGCTAACCTGAAGAACAAAATAACTAGATAACAATTTTGAGTGTACATGAAATATCAGAGCTTCACAGCACCCAGCAACAGCTCCCCACAAAAGACAGATAGTACCAACCCGCTTTTTACCACATACAAGAGAGAGAAACAAATTTTCTTGCAAACTGTGGGTTGGACTCGGGCTGCACAACTACAAGGACCTAGGGACTAGAACCCAGGTTGGCAGAGCCTCGGGTGGCTGAGATTCCCACAGTGCCACCAAGAACCATACAGAGGTGCAGCCAGGGAGCATCATCGTGGAGAGTAGGCACTGCAGGAAGTACCGCCCACGAGACCTAGAGTGATAATACCCTGTGGCCCTGTGATTGGCCAAGTGCCCCTACTTCACCCCTTTGGTTGGCCCAGGAAGTTTTCTAGGTAACTACACAGACCTTGGACTGCTGCAGTGCCAGACTTTGCCTTGTCTCCTGATCTCTGACTTCAACCCCAACTACTGTCCCTCGATTCTAACCCAGTACTGCCCCTGATATCTGGACTTTGACCCCAGCCTGACTCTGATTCTGACTCTTGTTTGTGGGACCTGGCCCTGCGATTCCTCCAGCTCCTGCCTGGTGACTCCTGGTCCTGGTGGACAGACCTCCGCTAAGCTGTGACCACTAGGCCAGACCACCCACACCCCACGCACTTACAACAGGAGAGTAAGGAGGAGTAAGAACCCCTCTCATATCCCACTGCATGCTAAGAGGATCTTCACTTCAGGCACATGGGATAAGAGGGTTTATGTGCCTGCTTGAGCCATTCCCAGAATAGGTGGACAGAGAGGTGTGGGAAATGGACAGTCCTCACTCCATCCCCCTACTTGTTGACCAGAGTCGCTAAGCTAGCACTTTTTCTAGACCGGAAGTAAATTGTTACCACCCAGGCTCCAAGAGGAAGCAG